TTTTTTTTGGGACAATGCTCCAATATATTCGTGGGGAGCTGCACGTGCCGAGAACCGGGCCCAGCATTCCATTAGAAACATATATTTGAGAACGTGTACAGAGGAACTTGACGGTGCAGCGTTCGACCGTAGCACAATTAGTGAAAATTCTTTCAGAAGAATGAAAGAAATTCTTTCAGCGTTCGACTGTACAGAGGAACTTGACGGTGCAGCGTTCTACTGTAGCACAATTAGTGAAAATTCTTTCAGCATTCTTTTTTTCTTTTAACTACCGCTTTAGAATATTCTATTATTGTGGCAGCCAGTGCATCAGATCCTGCTCCTCCGGCATTGCATTAGAGACACATATTCGTGTATTTGTCGATGAATGAAAAAGAAAGAAAGCCGGCAGCAGCAAGAAAGAGCGGCCGGCAATGAACATTCATCTGTGTGTGTAATTGGAGAATGAACCTGGCTGTGTTTCTGAACGGGAGAATGAACCTGACCGTGTTTCTGAACGGTATAGAATGAATGTGATTGATCGGTCTGTCTAATTGGAGAATGAACCTGACCGTGTTTCTGAACGGGAGAATGAGCCTGACGGTGTTTCTGAACGGTATAGAATGAATGTGATTGATCGGTCTGTGTAATTGGAGAATGAACCTGACCGTGTTTCTGAACGGGAGAATGAACCTGACGGTGTTTCTGAACGGGAAAAGGAATGTGCTCTCCACTCTTCGGCAAACAAATCCTATTGTATGTTGATGACGATCGGAGAGCACATTCATTCTCCTGTTCAGAAACAGGGTCAGGTTCATTCTCCAATTGCACAGACCGATCAATCACATTCATTCTATACCGTTCAGAAACACGGTCAGGTTCATTCTCCTGTTCAGTGACGTGGACATCGGCCAAGACGGGACTCTTCAAGAGAGCGGTAGTTAAAAGTTTTTGTCCATGTCTGGGATGCTTTTCTCGACTTGGTTGGCATCCCTGCCGCCGCGGCAAACTGAAAATCCTCTCTGCCTCAAACGTCGTCGGGTTCTTTCTCAAAGCTGGGCCCAAGGAATATGCTAAAGAAGTTTTGAGGATCCATCTCTCTCTCTCTCTCTCTCTCTCTCTCTCTCTCTCTCTCTCTCTCTCTCTCTCTCTCTCTCTCTCTCTCTCTTGTCTCTTATACACATCTAGATGTGTATAAGAGACAGCTCTCCGTGTGTGTGTGGGTGTGTGGTGGTCCCAGCTTTGATTTTCTGACTGGCCATCTTGTGTCCCTTTTGTTTGGGGTTTGATCTGTGCACCTTTGCAATCTGCTTGTGGTTCTTCCGCAGGTCATGCTGTGGGCAAATAATTTCATTTCTAATTTGCTTCGTCTCATTGGAAGTCTGTCCCTTTTTCTTTCCCCTTTTTATTTAGTTTCCTGTTTTTCTGCTTCCGGTTGGCCCTCTTTATTTAAGCTGCCGGTACCTTTCCCATATGTTGGCCGCGGGCCCTGCACACCTAGCATTCGGGATGCATCTGGCCAGCGCACGTGCATGGGGCTGGCCTCCATATTCGTTGGATGGTTTGTCGTGGTAAATTGCTAAAGTCATAAAATGTGATAAAAATCATTAAAATGTGATAATTACGGTTGAATACTAAGATACCAGCCGGGCCGCCCGGGTCACCCTATTTTCCCGGGCGGCCCGGCCGTGCAAGGATCAGGGAAGGTCCCAGGCTCCCAGCCAAAAAATAAAAATAAATCCAATAAATTATAAATCGGAAAAAAAAAACATGTTATGCAGATCAATAAACTGAACAACTTTTGCCTCAGGGTCACATCGAAATTATTTACCAAATTTGAAATAAAAAAAAATAAATTAAAAACTAATTTTTATTTGTTTTTTGGTTTTATATCTTTTTGGCCTGGCCGGGCAAGTGGATCCGGGTCACGCTGGTAGCCTAGGTAGAATAAACAAACGAGAAGAAATGATTTTGTGACATGAAAATTCGAAATTGTGAATAATGATGAAGGGCCTTGAAGGGTACTCGAGGTCCTTTTTGTTTTTTTTTTCTGTGTTTTTAGCATTTGCGTGTGTGTGTGCTGTGTGTGCTTGACGGCGGACTACTCAACAAGAGAGAGAGAGAGAGAGAGAGAGAGAGAGAGAGAGAGAGAAGGTGGATAGGGATATCAGGAGTAAAGTGGTACAGCAGAGCATGCATCTACTGTGGGGAAGAGAATGTGCCATTAACACTGTGGAATGGTAGTGTTGGGAGCAGGAGGTGGTTACAATGATCGTGTTGCGGAACTATTTTGCCCTATTTTCCCAACACTGGCGGAGGTACTAGTGCTTCAAAACAACCAAATGAACCAATACAGAGTTAATAAGGGAAAGGGTGGGTTGCGCAGAGCGGGGAGATCAAATTGAGCGTAGTGCGGCATGGTAAAAGGGAGGGGCTGACCCAATTGCACAAATGTCCTCGTCTTTTGGAAGAGCTTGGTCCCATGGTGGTTGGTAGTGGGGCTCGCCTTCGCAAGCGCGGAAAATAACTGTTGTCGTAGCTTCTTTCTTGTTCTGCTAAAAGTGGGAAGGGAACTTCGGCGCGATCATCGCGAGGGAGACATCTTTTTTGAACTTTTGGAATACGGGGAAATGTGGGAATTAGGACTTTTAAATTGTGTTGTTATGAATTACAGGCATCGTAATTTGTTGAGGACTTTTGCTGCTGTAACTGCACGATGCTCCTTACTCGCGCTCGCCTTGCTGTGTCCTGTCCTGCGCTCTGCTCCTGCAGCGCCTAAATTCTAATTGCAACAGTCTTCTCTTCTTGCTCCTTCTTGGCGAGGGCGGGTGTAACTGTAATCCTCTCCCTCTTGATTTCCCTCAGCGCTAAAACCTGTGCCTCTTTTCTGTCTATCTCATTTGCCGAGAAGATGCATGACGGGATCGATGCATGGAGACATTGGAGAGTGGCTGCATCCCCCACGCCGCGGCTCAGTCGTGTACTTGTAGGCACTCGCTTCCTCCCTCCGAGTCTTCTCCCTGCTTCAACGTAATCCGGAATTATGTCGCCAGATACAGAGTGCTATAAATCCTGCAAGTGCGACTAATTCGCTCTCTAATCTACACTTGGGAGTTGGTGCAGTCGACAGGATCGACCAGCGAGCAGAGACTGAATGGTGGGTAGGGAGTTGGGAGATCCGACGAGCTGGTGCTGGGTATGCGGGGTTGACGTGTGGCCGCAACGGACTGGGCACGTGGGTAAGCCTGGCTTGCATGCTCGGACTAAGCAGGGTGACATCTTTGGGTTGTTGGTAGGTGCGAGGCGACGGACTGATCGCATCAGAAAAGCATTGAGAGAGAGAAAGAGAAAGAGCACGAGTCAAGGAATTCGGGTATGTATGGTCGGGGCGTCCTGTTGACGTATGGGAAATTGCTTCTTTTTGTTTCCCTCTGAGCCCCCACGTTTCTGTGTATGCAACATTGATTAGCTATCTATTTTTGCACTAAGATCATAGATGTCGAATCTTGGATTAGACCAGGGGCGGATTAGATGCAGGCGTAGCAGATAAGAGTACGGCATGTTCGGAAACAGATCCTGTGCACGAGCCCGCGTATGGATTGGGTCTCACTCTTTCTCCTTTCCTCCTGCTTAAAATACGGTGTATGTTGCATCGAATTTGCGTCGTGTCGACAAACATCGTCTTTTCAAGTAGATCGGGGGTAGATTAGTTGTATGTCGGAGTAGGTGGCGCTAACTCTGTCGGAAGCGGATCGTGTGCACATAGTTATACGGACGACCACGAAAGGCGGTCATCACGTATACGTGTGTCTGCATGATCCGTCTCCTGC